GCCAGGACCTTCCCCCCCGCCTCGGGCCGGTGTTATTTAAGCCTGAATAAAGGGCCCAAAATAACAGGGAAATATTTCTTTCCCTCTTTCTGCTTTCTTCTCTCTTTCACCTTCCGCTTGCAGTGCCGGATCTGATCTGTTTGCTCTCAACGGCCATACAGTGGCGGTTGGGAGGGGGGCGTTGAGAAGGACGACGGGGGGATGTGAGGGAGAGAACGGTTAAAATTTGGGCGAAACGTTTGAGGCTAAAGCGTAAAGTTTCTGTGGGTGGGAGGTCGGGTCTCAGCAGGTTTGCTGCCCAGGGTACGTGAAACGCCATCGGCGGCCTGAAACGTTTCCAGGCGACGCCTGCAGCCTCCCATTGAAGAGGCTGGATGTTGCCTCAAGGGTTTTGTGCTGTTATGCCCTTATCTTGACAGGGGTATCCCGAGTGCCACCAGCCCTGGGCTGCGCCTGTGGCGTGTCTTGAGATCGGAGTATTCGGCAGGGCTAGCAGAGCATTGAAACCTCTTGTTACTGATTTGTTAATTTCTGCTGCCTGTGGTCTAACGGAGAGTTCTTGTGTGTGGCATTTATTTATTTATTTATTTATTTATTTATGAGTTAGTCTGTGTAATTGCAGATGTGACCTGGATCCTTCTGCCAAACTCATACTGCCTCTGAGAAGTGCCTGTTTTCACTCCCTCACTTGCTTAAAGGAGTAATTGCATTATTCTGCTCCCACTAAAGGGGCACCCTTCTCTCCTTCACCTCTGTTACAGGGCGAAAGAAGTTACAATATTATGTTTCAAAGCAAAACAGGGCTTACTTGTCTCATCAGGCATAGTTCTAGGGATTTGGGGTCTCTGTTTTATGGATATTTCCCTTGGCTGTGCTCTCAACACAGTGCAAAGCAGTAACATTAGCAGGATTTCTTTCCTTTTGATTTCATTTTCAATTTCAGTACTGAGGTCTCAATAGCCTGAGGTTATGCTGGGTTATCTGCAACCAATTATTTTATTTTTATTTATTTATTTTCAGGAAAGCCTGTTTAGTTGCTACCGGTGTTTTAAACGTATTTTGAAAACTTCCTTCAGACAGAATACTCACTTGAGCAGAAGAGGCTGTCTGAGCAATATGAGTATTAAGCCTTGATAGTAGGAATACATATGATTTCTGTATCTGCATTAAGTGACTTATGCACATACTGCGCATAAGTATTTTTCAAGCTTTGGCTTTGGACAATATTCTAGGAACTAAAGAGTTTTTTTTTTTTTTTTCTGAAATGCCCTCTTGTCTCTATTTAAACTTTGCTGTAACATTCCATTCAGGAAAAAAAGCTGTTTTTGAATCATGTTTAGTTTTCCAAACTCATAGGGCTTATACAGTGAAGGGGCATTAAAAATACCTTAGATTATGAACTGTACATCATGCTGGGAAAGTAATTGTAAAGGATCTATAGTTCTGCACCTGAGCTTGCCAAGATTGCGGTACTCAAAGTATAAACCTCCTCTTTGCTGTTATTAAATTTGTCTGGTTTAAGGTGCTACAGATATGCTATGCCACTTCCTGGATTTGTTCAAATAAAATACCAGACATAAATTATGGTGGTTGATGTGCACACGTATATTTGTATCTATATATATGCATATAAAAAATGTACTCAGGTGAAGAATTTATGCTTGCAAGGGTAATTTATTTTTCTCCTTCTGTGTGAGGCATCCTTCAAACTGATAAAGTGTTTTGTCATACTTCTATTACCCTAGTTACTCTTTTCCTAAAATATGGATATGATATCTTCTGTTTAAAAAGTTGCAGCAAAAATGACGTACTTAGTAATTTTGCATTTGTAAAGCTCTAATTATATTTGTATATTATGCAATAATTATAATTTAAAATACTGTATTTTCCAGCACAGAGCAATAAAGGGATACCACCTTATAAAAGTCATAAGATGCCTCCTTTTAGAGGATTTGTCCTATGCTTAACTCTCCAGAAGCTTAGACTTTATCATAATCACAACTTTATCATAATTTTTGATTGATCTATTTGCTTTATTAGTTGTGAATCTTAGGAGGAAAAAAAAAAGAGGTGTTTGGGACTATTTGGAATTCCCCTAGATTCCTAAATGCTCTATGAAATTTGCATTTATGTATTTATTTTAGTTTAGTTATTTCAGGGAGGAAGTGAAATAAGGGGGACACAGCAGATATATTCTGTCCTACTCATCTGCTTTAAATGTTCTGGATGAGAGAAGAACTTATACTGATGTAAACCTATAAACCTACATTACAGATTCCAGTTCGGATTTTCTTACTCCCATTCTTAATTTTCTTATAATCTTTTAATATATAACATAATGCTTCTGGAGGATGGCAACATATACTACATACTTGTTTCTAGAAGTTATATAAATCTGGATGAAATTGCTTATTTTGAAAGAAAAATCCATATTTTCAGTAGTGGATGTTTAAAACTACTCTCATGATTTTTTTTTTAAAGTAATTCCATAAGTGAATATATTTTCAGAATCAGAACATTTAGGCATTGTGATTATGTTCACTCCTAAGCAGTGTATAAAAATATGTGTGACTGTTTTCACCTAAAGCTTGACAGTTTTGTAGAGGAATATTAATTGATCTATAAATGATGGAAAATTGAACTTTAAATTGATCTTATGTAAGTGCCTTGAACTTTTTCAGTGTAGCTGACATATTTGCTCCTCATTATAACATAAGGTTTGAAGACATTTATGAATACTTTATGATGGTTAGTGTAAAATCCTTGAGGAAAGGCTAAGGCACTTCTCCCAGAGTCTTTGCTTTCGGAATGGTTTCTTATCCTGTAGAACCTGCATCCGTAAACATTTTGTGCATAAAACTAGGCCTTACGAAAGTATTGCTGAGTCTCATCTTTTGTGACTTTATCTTCCCCCAGCTCTTTAGCGTAATTAAATCTGATTAAGATGCCCTTGAAACCCACCTTGATACATCATCTTAGACTCGTTAAGGAGGTTTTTGCCCCTGAACTGTGAGTCAGGAACTTCTTCATCCCTTTCTCTTGGAATCCTTCTGTATCATTATTTGAAGTGTTATCTAATACGTTCTTGTTCAGCACTTAAAAGCAGTGTGGTTCCCCCCTGCAATTTTCTACTTTTGTAGTGTCTTCTTTTTGCCCTTGAGTTGTTGGAAAAAATCTTAGGGTTTTTTTTGTCCGTCTTTCCAGTTGCTGGGAAATCAGCACACTGGAAAAGAGTGCCTTCATTTAGTAAGTAATATGTGCACAGTACCTGTGGACAGTTTGTCATTTAACAGGTAAAATTAATAGATGGGTTATTTTGTTGGAAACTCCAGCAGTGCGTGAACTACAATGGAAAAAAAAAATGTCTTTATATGCTGCTTTATTGCAGTTACATCCTGCCACTTGATACATATGCAGTGGGATTTAGTTAGATAGTTTAAAAGTGGTATACACTTCCCTGTGCAGTATTACCCTAGAGAGACAGGAATAACTAGATTTAAATTTTTGGTGTGCTAGAGAATATATATATATTTTTTAACGAGTGCTTTTATAGTATAAAGCTACCAGATGCTCTCCTAGAGCAAAGGAGATTTTAACCTAGCAAAAGCTCAGGATTTATATAGTAGATTGCTCTTAAAATGGCTTTAATCTTTGTTTACAAAGTATACTTCTCCTACTGCTAGTTTGTAGCATAATTAAACTACCTATCTATATGCTTACTCTACATCTACAGTACAGAGATAGGTGGTTAAAATAATAATAATAAAAATAGATAAAAAGATAGAAATCTTAAATACTGTTGACACTGTTATACTGTTCGGGGGTGATGTTTCATATCTAATCCTGGCATCTTTGTGTGTAAAAATGTACAAAAACAGAACTGAAGATATAGAAGAGAAAATTGTTGTGCTTGTACAAAATATGCAACTAGGGTAACATGCCCTCTAGGATCTATCTGTATGTACATAGTACATATATGGTCTTTTTGACCTGTGACAGGTATTTTGTAATTGCAGATGATAACTTTAAATGTCAAGTGTTCATTATAATCTAGTGACCCCAAAGGGTAAAGACGCATTTGGGATTTCTTAAAACTGGGTTCCTAGTCTGTGTTAAAAAAA